CTGTTCGTTCTAGTTAACCTTTAACTGCACTTCACTCGTTTATTGACCCACCGCAGTTATTAAAGTGTGATAAAAGCAAGGGCTGATCCCATAGAACCATAATCACTGGTACATCTCATTTGTAGACATACGTTAGAAGAACAAGATCATCTCAAAAAATGTTCCCTACAGTATTGCAATGAGTCGCATACCGATTTCAGGTAAAGGGCTTGTTAACCATCTTATTTCATACTTAATAGAATAAAGTCTTGATTATATAATGACCGAGGGACCCTGTAAAATAACGATCATTACTAGACATCAACTTCCTGTGAAAGGAAGCATCCACACAAATCATTTTAACAGATCTTTACTCCAAAGCCAGATCACTTTAACAGAAATTCCAAATCTCAACATAGTAAATACCATTAAAATCTAGTGGTATTTAGAGACTGACAGAAAACTAATGTGTCATTGTTTATGAATTTGTTATTACTTGAACCCTGAAATACTCAAGTAATTCGTATCACGTTATCTTCAAAGCAAAAACGTTTTCTTATTCCCTCTAGTCTAGATTTCATTTCGTCAAATAACAAGACTTCAGTCTAGGAAGGCTCTAAAATTAAGTATATAGATGAAATGTTAGTTCTAGGATATTCGAGCAATGACAATCCCTAATACTCTAACCTGGACGGAACTGAAGTAAAATGAAAGTTTCTCTACAAACAAATTGTTTAATTTCCTTTTAGTGATGCATACTTTTAGCTAGCCACATAAAAAGAGCATTTGTTCTGTAATCTGTTCAAACTTACCTAAGTTTTTCTCGATACCATAATCACTTACGCCGCAACACAAATAACCAACTGTTACCTACCCCTATTTTCATCTAAGAATGAAATTTACCGTTGTCAGTTTTTACTACCAGGTATCAGCTATGACACTGCTGTGGCACTTAAGGCCTATACCGTTACATATTTACGACAGCCTGTTAGCAGTAGCTTTGTGATGAGTGACAAATAAGAAAGAAAATGTAGTAGGGTATAACGATCACTAGTGTTGCACTTAACACTACAGCATGTCCGTGACGTGAGAATGTGAGGTGATTAATATTTACTATAATTAACTGAAG